GGAGGCCGCCGTGGCACCCCGAGGCACAGCCACCGAAAGCCCCCGGCACGGCTGCTGAGAGCGGGAACTTCGGGTCACCGGCAACTCGGTCCCGCTTGAGCTCTCAACACGGGAAGAGCTGTTCGGGCTTTCTCGTGCAGTCAAGAAGATATTTTGGCCAGGACCATGTCGAGAGCCTGCCCTGCGCTCGGGCTGCAGGAAACGACGTGTTCGAGGGGGTGACCCCGCCAGGTCAGGAGGAAACAACAACAGGCAAACTGCTTTAAACCCTGCGGTGGATGTTATACAAGATACAAAAAAAGAGGTTTGTTTGTGTGTTTTTGAGAGAGATGCACACAAAACTGGGCTGGTGCATGCCCAACATCCTTCTGTGTGGACCCTGATAAATCCCTAGCTTACGTGGGGAGCCCGTTAACCCCAGACCGAGGCCCTGTTAGCAAAGCGTTAGACGGCGCGACACCAAGGACATAGCCCGGCATCTGGGGCTCGGGAAGCCGCCTGTACCTGCCGCTGCTAGTGTCGCTGTTGTTTCGTTTTGTTTTTGAGACAGAGTCTCGCTCTGTCGCCCAGGCTGGAGTGCCGTGGGCGCGATACACCCTCACTGCAGCCTCCCAACTCCCTGGGCTCAAGCCAATCCTCCTGCCTCAGCCTCCGGAGAAGCTGGGACCACAGGTGCCACCACTACACCCGGCTCATTTTAATTTTAAAATTTTTTTGTAGAGATGGGGTCTCACTGTGTTGGCCAGGCTGGTCTCCAACTCCTAGCCTCGAGTGATCCTCCTGCCTCGGCCTCCCACGATGCTGGGAGTATAGGCGCGTACCACCGCGGCCAGCTAACTTTTAGGAACTTCCTGAGCTAGGTAGACACGACTCTGAATTTGACGCCAGCGCCTTTGGGACGTGGACTCTCAACTGCGGGGCCTTGGCTTACCAGCCTCACAAATTGAGCCGATTTAACCAGTCTGTTCAGCCGACGGAAGGGCCATTTTCGGGCTGGATGGCTACAGAGGTGGGACGAGGAGGAGGAGGAGGGGGAGGAATCATTTGTGCCTTTGTTTTCTTCTCTTATTTTTCACGGAAATAGCCAGAGCAGTGCGGCGCAAGTGGCCGACTGTCCTGATGTGCCGCGGCCGCCTGCGAGATCCGGCCGCCACCAGCCGCGCGTGGCTCCCGAGCCTCTTGAAATGTGGCTCGCCACGGACGAGGCCGGAACGTTCATTTTATTTCCGTTTCCCGATCGAAGATTGGTCGCGGTGTCGGCTGAGACTCGGGACCTTCAGGCGCCGAGGGGTGGCTGGCTCGCCCACGCGTGCACGAGAGATACCCCGGGTTTTAAGGGAGATTAAAGACGGGGCGGGGACCAGAGGCGGGGGGAAGGGAGAGCGGGCCGCGGGGACACGGGGTGGGGGGGTGTTAGCAGGTGAAAATTATTTTATTTTTATTTTATTTTGAGACGGAGTCTCGCTTTGTCACACAGGCTAGAGTGAGTGCCGTGGCGTCAGCCTAGCCACAGCAATCCAATCTCCTGGGCTCAACGATCCTCCGTGCCTCAGCCCCGAGTAGCTGGACTACAGCCACGTGCCACCCATGCCGCGGCTAATTTTTTCCTCTATGATACTAGTTGCCAATTAATTTCTTTCTATTTATAGTAGAGGCGGGGTCTCGCTCTTGCTCAGCGCTGGTTTCAAAACTGCCTGACCTCGAGCAACTCGCCGCCTCGGCCGTCCCAGATGCTAGGATTACAGGGCGTGAGCCACCGCACACAGGCCGCAAAATTTTTTTTAAACATGAGACGGCAGAATAAAAAGGAAGGATAGGCCACGGCCGCGTGATGGCCCTTGAGGACATCGCATCCCTGACATAAGCCACACACGACACGTCCGCTGTGTTCCACTCCCAGGAGGTCCCTGGAGGCGTCGGATCACGGGGACCAGGAAGTAGGGTCGTGGGTGCCGGGGCTGGGGCAGGGGTGGAGTGAGTGTTTTGGGGGACAGAGCATCAGTTTGGGAAGTGGAGAACATTCTGGAAGTGAATGGTGGTGACAGCTGCACCAGTGCTGTGAATGTGCTTCATGCTGCTGAGCTTTGAGCTTAAAATGGTAAAATTGGTGAATTCTTGTTATATATATTAACCACAATAACAAACTAATTAAAAAATTAAAATGTGAATGATATATAGCTGTCAAGCATCAATATTTTAAAAACTACACTTATTTAAAAAAAAAAAAAAAAAGCAGAAACAAAACACAACTCCCAGGCCACAGGAAAAGAAGAAAAGTCCTGGCCCGGGCAGCAGGGACATCTGCAAAGCCCACGCCTGGCGTCCCGCGTGGCGACGGCTCCCCTGAGGCCAGCAGCAGGGTCGGGACTGTCACCGCGTCCACCCAGCGTTGTTCTGGATCCCGGGCAGCGCCGTACGGCAGGAAAAGAAATCAAAGGCTTGTAGATTGGGAAGGAAGAAATGAAACTGTCCCTATTTGCAAGTGATACCATGGCCATTCTGAAAAACCCAAGGAATCTACCAAAAAAAAAAAAAATCAATGCACAAAAATCAGCCCCACTTCTCCTTGCTCGCAGTGGACAATGAGAACCCGAAATGGGAACCTGTCACTCACAGTCCCTCTCCAAACCCACCGTGGAGTGAAAGTGCATTTGTCGACAGCCGCTTTGCACTTGCTACTGGCTGACTTGGTGGCCCCCGGGAAACCCTGCGAGGTGGGTTTTATCATCATCTGCCCATTTGACAGATGAGGAAACGGAGGCTGGCGTGGCTGGCAGAGCCCAGGGTCGTCGATCTTAACCGACAGCAGGGTGACAGCACAGAAGACAGTGACAATAGTGATTGTCATCAAAGAACAATTAAAGAAGGTCGCCCTCCGCTGGGGAAGGGCTTGCTGCGTGCGGGCGGCCGTCTGGGCACCCTCTCCCGCCCACTTCCCCCGGGCCTCGTGGACGGCCTCCCGGGGAGGTGACGTGTCCGAGGTCCCCTGCCCCGCCTGCCCGATTCCAGAGTGGCACTTGCTAGGTGTTCAAGAGACGTCCCCGCTTCCCGGGGCCCCGGCCGGGCGCCAGCCGGGCACTGCTGGCTGCCGAGGCCCCGCGCGGCCCAGCCAGGCCTGGCCGGGTGGCTCGGGCGCGAATGCACAGCTGGAGGCCGAGCCGGGCACGGTCCCCTCGGCCACCGCCCAGTGTGTCCAGCCCAGTCGGCCACCCGGGGCGGCCCTGCCAGAGGAGGGGCTTCCCTCGTTGCCTCCTGCGTTTCCTGGTTGGGAAACTGAGGCACGAGGCCCTGCTTCCGTGCTGATGACAGCATCTTGGTCTTGGCAGCTGGTGGTGGGTGTGTTCAAACCCCTAGCACGGTGACAAGCAGCTGGCCCCTGGCTTGGGAAGTGACATTGTTTTTATTTTTGCACAACAACCTCGAGGGCGGCTTCCACCATCGACCCGTTTTACGGATGAGGAAACTGAGGCCTTCTGAGGAAAAGCGGCCTGCCTGGGCCTGGAAGAGGCCCTCAGAGTCGGGACCTGAACTCAGGCTGGGGGCAGGGCGTCTGAGCGCAGGACAGACACAGGACACAGTAGCCCTGGTGACAAAGCACACGGAGTGGCCTGCGGAGGGGATGTTTGTTGTCATTCTGACACTCAGTCTTCCTTGTCTATAAAATGGGTGCGATAACAATGCCAGGTTTGCGGTTGTCTTAAGGATTTAAGGGAACTTATCAAATGGGAATGAAAACACAGGCCACAGGTGTGGTAATTAACACTCTCAATAACAACAATGTGACAGATGCTACTATGTGTCAATATGCCCCCAAGTGCTTCAAAAGTATCTCTTTGTTTGTTTGTTTTCTGAGACAGAGCCTTGCTCTATCACCCAGACTGGAGTGCAGTGAGGTCACCATAGCTCACTGCAGCCTCCAACTCCTGGCCTCAAGCGATCCTCCTGCCTCAGCCTCCCGAGTAGCAAGGACTACAGGGGCGACCACCAAGCCCAGCTAATTTTTCTATTTTTAGTCGAGACAGAGGTCTCGCTCTTGCTCAGGCTGGTCTTGAACTCCTGACCTCAAGGCGTGAGCCACCACGCCCGGCCTCCTTGCTATACCTCTTGGCAATCCCATGAGGCCTGGGCGGTGCTCGTGGCCACTCGGAAGAGGAGAACCGGCGGCGCAGAACAGCCGTGCAACCGGCCTGGGCTCACACAGCAATTGCTTGGTGGTTTGGGGTCTGGCCGGTGGGAGGGCCTGGTTCTCTTCCTTCGGCCTCCGATGGTGACTGTCACCACCCTCATCTTTGACCTGGGGGGCAGATGAGAGGGCTGCCTGGCTGGGCTTGCCCCCCCCGCCCCCCCCAGCTCCAGTCCGGCTGCAGGGTCAGGGCTGCGGCAGGGGTGGCCCGCCCGGTCCCCCCCAGGCTTCAGCGAGAGAGCGCTGAGCTCAGCGTCTGTCTGCGTCTCCGCCTGCCAAAGGAGCGATTATTTTTAGATAAGATGGAGGGGGCCTGGGGCGGAGGAGCCCCAGCCAAGGCGGGAGGCTGGGTGGGTACGAGTCAGAGAGGGCCCCTCAGCTGTCTCTGGGGACCCCGAATGGCAACCTGAGACAAGGCCGGGCACACGGGACTGCAGGGCAGAGGCTGAGACCAGAGCCCAAAGCAGGACTCACCTCTCTGGCCTCAGTTTCCCGGTGTAAAACAAGTGTCATGATAGATCCCACCGCACAGGGCTAAGGCAGGAGTCCAGGCGTTGTTATGATTTTCCAGAGGCTCAGAGAGGGCAAGTGACTTGCCAGGGCCACACAGCAAGAAAGTGGCAGTGTTGGGATTTGACCCGGGGTCTGTCAAGACTCCAGTGTGCCGGCTCCTACTGCACCTGAGCTGGCCCTGCCGACGGGGGCGGCCACGCTCCAGCACGGGACCGCGCCACGGCCTGAGCGGGTGTCTGCAGGGCCTGGGCAGGCCCTCCTGGGGCCGGGCCTGCCTGGCGTCAGCGCCCTCTTCTCGTTGCAGACGCGGAGCAGAGCGGCAGCCCCCGGGCGGGGATGGGCGCGGACCAGGAGGACAGCAAGCCATCACGCTGGGTGAGTGCCCGTCTCCCGTGCAGGCGCCTTGCTGAGCGCGGCCTGCGAGCCCTGCGCGGACCTCGCCGATGCTGCTCCGCTCCTGTTTGCGCATGGGTAGACTGAGGCTTAGGCAGCCGGGGGCTGGGGGCCTGTGAGTGTCGGGCTCCCAGGGGACCCCCGAGGGCTCTGCAGTGCCTGGGATGTCACAGAGTCCTTCTGCGTTGGGGGCGGGGAGTGGGGCATTGCCTGGGGCAGAGCCTGGGGAGGAGGGAGGATTCAGCGCCATCTCATCATCATCATCATCATCATCCACCTAGACCAGTGGGGACCCCCACCCCGTCTCTGGCTCCACCTTTGCCCTCTGCATCTGTCCTTGTTGCAGCCAGGGGGCGCCTGTGAGCACCTGAGTCAGGGCCTGTCTCCTGTACCACAGTCCTCCATGGCTCCCACCTCCTCCGAATCAAAGCCAAGTCCTCCCTGAGGCCCTCAAGCCCTGCAGGACCTGCCTGTCCCCTCCTGCCCTCCTCCTCCCTCTCTCCCTCCTCCGTTACTCTGCTTCAGCACACGGGCCTCCTCGCTGAGCCTCCAACACGCCAGGCACGTCCTGCCCCAGGGCCTTTGCATGGGCCGTGCTCCATCTGGACAGCTAACTGCGTGTCTCTCCCCCCCCATCTCCCAGACCTCAGCGCCACTGTCCCCTTCTCAGACAGGTCCCCGCGCCCTCCCTCTGGCAGCCTCTGGCCGCACTCAGTCACTCCAGCCCTCTGCCTCACGTCCCAGAGGAAGTTAGTGATTGCGTCCCATCGCTCATCTGCCCAGGGACTGCACCTCCGCCAGGGCAGAGGCTTTGGTCTGTGGCGGTCCTGTCGTGGCCGGCGCCTAGAATAGGGCCTGGTATACAGCAGGTGCTCACTGCATCTTTGCGAGCAAGAGAGGAGAGCGGGAGGGAGAGAGGACGCTGGGGGACAGAGCGGGGAGAGGGAAGCGACGCTGGGCCCCCGCACCCCACTGGCAGGACGCAGGCAGCCGAGCAGCCCGCTGGGTGGCCTGCAGGAGGCTCGCGGTCGCCCCCTCCTCGCTGGCCCTTGTGACGTCTGTTCTGCTGTCCGAGCCCGCCCGCCCCCCTCGCGCGATTCCGGCTTTCCCTCCCAGCCAGATGTGAGGGCGGCAGGCGGGGCGCTTGGGTGTCTGGCGAGGAAAGCGCGTCCCGCCCAGGGAGTCCCAGGAGCAGGACCAGGGCGGCGCTGGCACAACGAGGAAGCCCGGCGGGGCAGGCCGCGCTGAACAGCTGGCCGCTGGGTCAGCAGGAAACGGCTGCGGCACTTCCCCCGGACACTCGGGGACCACTGCCCCGTCCCCAGCCCCGGCTGCCTGTGCGCCTGGGGCTTCCCAGCTCAGGCCGGCACGGGTCGTCAGCTCACCGTGACACGGCAAGCGCATTGCAGCAGGGAGCCCAGGGGTCCCAGGACTGACGGGACAACTCGGTCTGGGGACAGGCCAGGAGCTTCCTGCGGCCGTGCTGCCCCCTGAGGCCGGGAGAGGGAACTGGCCCCTGCACCAGAGCTGGCCGCACACTGTCCGTCCACTCCCCTCACTGACACGCTTCCGGCCTGCAGCGTGCGGTGCTCTCAACCCAGGGCCTTTGCACAGGCCATCATCCACAGCAGGGAACACCGGCGAGCCCATCTCCCAGGCTCGCTCGCCAAGGCGCCTGCTCTTGGCGCTTTGCAAATTTTTAACAGTTTAATCTTCTCGCTGATCTGCCCGCCCACCTTGGAGTCTTGGAGATAAAATAGCGCCCTCCCCACCGTGGCCCACCCCTACCCGGCCTCGGCTGGGCTCCCACACCCTGCTGCATCCCCCTTGTCTGACACCTCACATTGACTTAGTTCTTTATTATATTTTTGAGAAGCGACGTCATCGCTCTGTCACCAGCCGGCATGAGTGCAGTGCGCATCGATCACAGCTCAACTGCAGCTCCATCCTGGGCTCAAGTGATCCTCTGCTCAGCTCCGAGTAGCTGGCGACTAACAGGCACCACCACGTCTGGAATCAATTTTTCTATTTCTTAGTAGAGAAGGTCCATTGCTGTCGTTGCCAGGCTGGTCCTCAGACGTCCTAGGCTCAGAGACTCCTACCCGGTCGGCCTCACCAAGATATGCTGGGACTACAGGTTGGAGCCCATACCTGGCATTCCTTAGTTTTATTTTTAAAAAATTGGTGGTAAAAGTATGCTACAACGTACAGTGTATTATTTGTAACCATTTTTGAGTATACAAGCCACATGGCATTAGTCACGTCACAAGAGCTGTGCAGCCATCACCTCTAATCTCCAGAACATTCGATCACTCCAGAGAGCAGCCCCCGTCCCATCAGCAGTCACCCTCATTCACCCCCCCAGGCCCCTGCACCCACGAACCCACGTCCGTCTCCTGGATCTGCCTGTCCTGGGGTTTCATGTCAAACGAGTCTCACACCTGTTGTCCTCGGCTGTGGCTGGCGTCTCTCACTGGAGCACGACCGTCCTCCAAGGTCCTCTCCACGCTGTGGCCTGTGTCCGGCAGCCCTCGTCCTTTTTCGTGGCTGAGTGACCACGTCACGTGGATGCGGCACGCTGTGTGTCCGCTCATCTGTTGACGGGCACTGGGGCTGTGTCCAAGTGTGGGGCTGTTGCTGTAAGACACCGGGGACAGGTGTGTTTTCTCACGTCGTGAATCTCGTGTGGTCTCTGGTCGCCAGCGGGGCCGGTGGACCGAGTCCCAGGAGAGCAGCACTGCGCCGCGGCTCACTCCCGCCGTCGCGAGTGCCAGCGCAGTGCTCGGACACGGCCCACTGACTGAATGGACCCTCTGCAAGGGCCTCTGGGGGCTGGGAGCAGGCCTGTCCCAAGCCTGGCTTGAGTTGCCCAAGGCTCCTGCCCTCTCTGGACCAACTTCGTTTTTTACAATCCACTGAATTGGGTTCAAACCACCTCGGGTTCAGGGATGGCAGGGTCCCTCCTTTGATGTGTAGGCAGGAGAGGGTTCTGAGGGCCACGGGGCAGGGGGGTGCTGCGCCTCTGGGCCGGCCCGTCCAACCCTGTTTCGAGCCGCTGCGGCGCAAGCTCTGATCTGTGCACTAGGGAGACACTTGCAGCGGTCTGGGAGAACGCCCCTGGCCCACAGGAGCTTCACCCTGGGGAGTGCTCCCTAAAGGGTGGGTGATGGCAAGCCAGCCAACTCTGGGAGCTGGATTCGGATCTCACGCACCACGCCAGACGGGTTGTGGTCTCCGTTTTTGAGATTAGAGAACACCGAGACTCAGGGACGGGGAGTGACTCTGCAAGATCCACACCGAAGGGATGACACAGCACCAATATTGAACCTGGGTCGGCAGAGAACCCCGCTCTCCACTCTGGAGGGACCTGCCCAGAGCGCGGGCCCGAGGAAGCAGGCCGGCGGCGTGTGGAGGCCAGGCTGACTGGGCTGCCATCGGGCCGTCCGCTGACGAAGGGGGTGGCGGCGGTTGCCGCCCTCGCTGCCGGGCTGCAGGGCCAACAGCCTGCGGTGCTAGAGAGGGACACAGGACCGGCTCGGCCCAACCGCCTCTCCGGACCTGGCCCTCTCCCTGTTGCAGACACCGACCACGAGTTCCAAGGAGAAGCCTTTGTCACCTTCCGGCGTGTTCAGTGTCACTGAGCTCATCCAAGTGTCCGAGCTGAGTGTCCCATCAGCAGCCCTGGCTCGGACCCAGGGAGGGGAGGGGTCTTCAGAGGAAGAAGGGAGCCCACCACCTCCACCTACGCCCCCTGTCCTGCTGCAGACACCCGTGTACATCAAGCCAGGTTCACGAGAAGCGAGGCTGGCCAGGCTCTTCGCACGAGCCAAGGTCAGGGTGACATGCCACCTCCCCAGGAAACAGGATCCAGATAAAATAGATATAGGCGGCAGGCTGCTAAAGAACCACACCCAGCATCCCTGCCTTCTGGGCGCTCCGGCCACCCACCTCAGAGGGCCAACCTCCTGTCTCCCTGCCTTGCCCTGGGACTATGCTGGGTCCCAACACATCCCTGACAGCCCTCCGTGTTTTGGTCCACCCCAGGGGAGTTCTGGGCAGTGTCTGCCTCGAACCTAGGACCCTCCCGGTCCAAGATCTGGCCTCCAGCTCTGGCTACGCTCTCCACCTCACTGCAGTGCAGACCTTGCGGCTCTCTCCACGGCCTTGGTCTTCATGTTCCTAGTAATAAGGCGGTTCAGCCATATTGGGACTAGTTTGGAAGAAGTCCCCGGTGGACTGCCACGATGGCTCTCCCGCCCCTAGGCACACCACCAGCCCTGGGCCTCTTGGCTCCTTCCTCATTCTCCTCTTCTTGCCTCTGCAGCAACCTGTGGGACTGGACACGACCCAACTTCTCCCTGGGGAGCTGCACGGGCACCTTCCGGCGTCACGACTGAATCCAGCC